GCGCCGGCGTTCCGCATGGCAGGCGGAGCTAACAACATCTCGTACCATTTCGGTCAGACAGTACAAAATACAAGTCACGTATAATAGGAAATGTATTAAAAGTAATGTTAATACGTGGCCTTTTTATAAGATATTAAGCGCATTACAGTACACTTATGTCTCGTAGTGCTTAGTGGAGCTAAGTCATCCCTCTCGCCCTGGCTGACCTTGTCCCAGGGCAGGTGTATAACACATGACCACATATTACACTCATGTGACCATATACTGTACACATGTGACCACATACTGTACACATGTGACCACATACTGTACACATGTGGCCACATACTGTACACATGTGACACCATACTGTACACATGTGACCACATACTGTACACGTGTGACCACATACTGGACACATGTGACCACATACTGGACACATGTGACCACATACTGGACACATGTGACACCATACTGTACACATGTGACCACATACTGTACACGTGTGACCACATACTGGACACATGTGACCACATACTGGACACATGTGACCACATACTGGACACATGTGACACCATACTGTACACATGTGACCACATACTGTACACGTGTGACCACATACTGTACACATGTGACACCATACTGTACACATGTGACCACATACTTTACACATGTGACACCATACTGTACACATGTGACCACATACTGTACACATGTGACCACATACTGTACACATGTGACACCATACTGTACACATGTGACCACATACTGTACACATGTGACACCATACTGTACACATGTAACCACATACTGTACACATGTGACACCATACTGTACACATGTGACCACATACTGTACACGTGTGACCACATACTGGACACATGTGACCACATACTGTACACGTGTGACCACATACTGGACACATGTGACCACATACTGGACACATGTGACCACATACTGGACACATGTGACACCATACTGTACACATGTGACCACATACTGTACACGTGTGACCACATACTGTACACATGTGACCACATACTGTACACATGTGACCACATACTGTACACATGTGACACCATACTGTACACATGTGACCACATACTGTACACATGTGACACCATACTGTACACATGTGACCACATACTGTACACATGTGACCACATACTGTACACATGTGACACCATACTGTACACATGTGACCACATACTGTACACATGTGACACCATACTGTACACATATGACCACATACTGTACACGTGTGACCACATACTGGACACATGTGACCACATACTGTACACACACATGACCACATACTGTACACATGTGACCACATACTGGACACATGTGACCACATACTGGACACATGTGGCCACATACTGTATACACGTGACAACATACTGTACACATGTGACCACATACTGTACACATGTGGCCACATACTGTATACATGTGACACCACACTGTACACATGTGACCACATACTGTACACATGTGACCACATACTGTATACATGTGGCCACATACTGTACACATGTGACCACATACTGTACACATGTGACCACATACTGTATACATGTGACACCATACTGTACACATGTGACCACATACTGTACACATGTGACAACATACTGGACACATGTGACCACATACTGTATGCGTGACCACATACTGGACACATATGACAACATACTGTACACATGTGACCACATACTGTACACGTGACCACATACTGGACACAGATGACAACATACTGTACACATGTGACCACATACTGTTCACATGTGACCACATACTGTATACATGTGACCACATACTGTACACGTGTGACCACATACTGTACACGTGTGACCACATACTGTACACATGTGACCACATACTGTATACATGTGACCACATACTGTACACGTGTGACCACATACTGTACACGTGTGACCACATACTGTACACATGTGACCACATACTGTACACATGTGACCACATACTGTACACGTGACCACATACTGTATACATGTGACCACATACTGTACACGTGTGACCACATACTGTTCACATGTGACCACATACTGTACACGTGACCACATACTGTATACATGTGACCACATACTGTACACGTGTGACCACATACTGTACACGTGACCACATACTGTATACATGTGACCACATACTGTACACGTGTGACCACATACTGTACACATATGACTACATGCAACACACAGTACACAGGCAACACATAGAACACAGTACACAGGCAACATACACAACACACACGACTGAATGCAACACACGTAATACACATACAAGACAAACAAGACCACATACGACACACACAATAAAAATACAGGAATAAATGACTTTAGCAACGAACACTGAGTGAGGTGTCTGGTGGGTCGCTCTGACCCAGCACGACCATACCCTCGCTCTAGACAACTGTCACCTGAAGCCCTCAGTGCGCCGCTCTCTAGCATTACGGTCTATCCGGTATGATTAAGGTCTACGTAGTGCTCTCATCTACCTGGACTGGTCAGTAGAGCGATGGCCTCGCGTCTTGCAGGTCTGCGTTCGATTCCCGACGGTTTAAGTAGTCTAACACTGTTCCTTTACTCCGTTCTCACTAAGAGAAGGAACCCTTCTCCCCTTCCAACTGTTTGTCATCCTGGCATAACGCTTTCCTCTGATAATTAACTTTAATATGGGGAACATATCGGACCTCGCACAACTCAGCCCGGGCGGGCGGCTCACCCACAACAATATATTACACGCGGCCTCCAAATAATGTGATTTAAAATCGCAAATATAAATAAGTTTTTTATAAGAAAATAATATTTTTTCTTATAAACGTATTATTTCTTCTTTCTCACGTTCATCGGCCTTCTGTTCTCTCGTTCTTTTAATTTGTTTATTATGCACCCCATACCCATCCCGTGGGCGGTGGTGGAAAGGGTTACAGAGCCACATAATGGGTGGGGGGGGGGGGGAGGAGGGTCAGACAGCCCCTCCCCTCTCCCCCCCCCCAACCCACACCATCCTGGACAACAAACACAACGTAACGGTCCCTATGATTCCCTTGTTACAACTTGTAATAAAGTTGTTACATATTGTTATAACATTTTTATTACGAATTAGAACGTTGTTACAACGTGCTATATTGGTTGTTACAATTGTTACCTGTTAAAACTTGTCTGAACGTTGTAGCAACGTTGCAGTTTGGTGGTGTGTGGGGCCAGGTACCCCCCCCCCCCCAACCGCCACATTCCGTGAGGCACACGTAAGCTGATATTGTCGCCAGCAACAGCAGAACTGTCTCGCTGAAGCTAAACCTAATTACACCACATTAAGGAAAAAAAAGATAAAATGACAGCGTCCATTAAATGATTCTATATACGAAAATTATATCGAAACCGGTAAGAGGACACGTGGAAATTATATAATTATAAATATGCAATAACGATTGTGTGGAGGCTCCGACGCCCTCCGCCCTGGCAGCCTGGGCGTCACTTGTCTTCGTGAATGACCTTCCTGAAGGGATAACATTTTACATAGTGTTGCGCAGTACACTATGAGGTCCTTAACACGTTTCAAGCTTTAGCAGATGCATTTCTGCTAGAGATTCAATGAAAGCCAATGTCAATTAACGAAGATCTGGAAATGGGAAAACAGCCCAGATCGACAGACAAGCAACAAATGGAAGCAGAGGCAAGGGTCAGAAAAGAAGGATTTGGGAGAGGACATAACATCAGAGGCACACGTAAACAACGTATCAGCAGCATATGCAAGAATGACAAACAAAAGAACGGCAAATAAATATCTAAGCAAGAAATTATTCAGAACATAATATGTACAATACATAAGTACTGGACGTTTGATGTACAAGACTGGACTTCCACCGTTAGTGGACATGTACAGCCATATAATCAAACCAATATATATTAACACTAATGCAAACCCACCACCAGACCACTCGTACAGAACCACTAATACTGGATACCCACACCACCACTGGACACCCACACCACCACCACTGGACACCCACACCACCACCACTGGACACCCACACCACCACTGGACACCCACACCACCACCACTGGACACCCACACTGGACACCCACACCACCACTGGACACCCACCACTGGACTAGATCACCCCAAGCAACAGGAAAAAGTCAGCAAGAGAAATGGTCGTATTCATTATTCCTTATGCTTTTAAAATAATTTGTATATATCCCTTTGTCATGGAGCTTTGTTACAGCTGACTCTCTCTAACTGTAATGATAACAAATATGATTTTCGTAAAATTGTATTTTGTTAATATTTATTTACATAAATCCGAAAGTCTGCGTGTCTGCCAGCAATGAATTCGAACACCGTTGAACGGAAGATGACCCAAATTTGGAACACTTCCTCATTCGACACAAGTAAGGTGATAGGCAATATGGGATTCCAGCGCCTGGGCCCTGCCTTTAGCAGTGCCTAGGTTTAGTTGCAATGTTTGTAGCGTGGGTGAACATGTAGCTGCGGCCGTCTTCACACGCCTGGCTGCCTAAGCTACGACCGTCTCCACGAGCCAATTAGTCAATAATGACTTACTTTGTGATCAAAAAAGTTTTTCAAACATTAATTATTTTTATTGTATAATATGGTACTGAATATAGTTAAGCCAAGGGTAGGTTTACGTTTTGGTTATTTTACCAATTACTTGGTTTTAGTTGTGAAGAAATGTGTGATATTCTGTGTTACCTTAGGCTTTACTGGAGAGTAGATAGTCAATATGCCTGCAACTGATCACATTTATTAGAGTGGATATGGAGACCTTTGTATAAGCTTAATATGTACTGTATATATAACCTGGCTTCTTGTCCCCAACGTAATGAGTTATTAAATTCATACATATAATATGTATATGTATAATATATTAATTATATAATTAATATATTATATGTATGAAATAATATAAATTCTTATATTCATACATATGAATCATTTAGACACGGGAATCAAAAGTAACATTTGTAAATTTGCCGATGACACTAATATTGGTCGGCCAATATATTCAGATAAATACTCGTTGAAGAAAGTATATTATATACGTTCGAAATGAATTGAAAGTTTGTAGTACAATGCGGACAAGTGTAGCTCACGAGCCTAAGAAAACCTATATATGTAAAGCCATATGCAGGCGATGAGTCACAATAACGTGGCTAAAGTAGTACAATGGAATGGTCGAGAATGGTCCAGGACGGACCGAAATGTCGTCGTCCCTTCACCTTCTAGTGTGTGGTCTGGTCAACATGTAAAGCCATATTTGACATTCTAAATATTAGAATGCATAATGTAAGATCAGAGTCATAGTTAGTAGTTGACAACACAACAGTAGTTGATATAATTGACACAACAATTTGGAGAGGTTCGAAATAAGTCTAATTGGGAATTAGGATTTAAATGTAGAAACATTCATAATAAAATTAAGATGCTGTCCTTCGACGTAATCGTGCTTCTGTGAGACAATACTGTGATTATTCAGTAGTCTTTCAAATATATATATATATATATATATATATATATATATATATATATATATATATATATATATATATATATATATATATATATATATATATATATATATATATATATATATATATATAGTCTTTCAAATTTAAATAACTTTATTGAGGTATAAATACAAACAAAGGGATGAGGTAGCTCAAGCTATTCTCACCCTGTTCAGTACAACGTGTTCAAATATATACATATAGGCACATCACAAACAATCAACATATTACGGGACATTTTGAGTGATAAATATATACATTTCTTCATTTACCCATGCAGTGTTACCAGACGTACACACAAGTCAGTAATCTTGGGCAGGGTACTAGAGGATGGATGTAAATTACAGCATATGGAAAGAATTCGATGCTAAATTATAAGAATGATGCTAAAATATAAATCAAAATAAAACACGAAATAATGAATTCATGCTGGATTAATTTTATATTTAAAAACGAAATAATTCTCAGATGTCCTCAGAGACTTTGAATTCACATGTCAAAAGTAAGGGAATTTGGTCATCATGATACGTGGTCGAAAGTACTGTTATTTAACGGTATCTCATATTCCATGGCATCCAAGTGGTTGGGCACCATTTCTTAACCTCGTCCCATTTCATATCCTTATCGTGACCCCTTCCCAGTGCTATATAGGCGTAATGGCTTGGCGCTTTCCCCTGATAGTTCCTTCATATTCCATGGTTGTGAATTATGGAGCTTACAAAATGGTGGCGTTAGTAAGTTAAATTTTAATGTTAAAGGAGGAAATGTTTAAGACGCCTAGTCCGTCCTGGACACATTGAGAGGTACTCCTCCCTCACCTCATATTAGTTTTAGTGTAAACAACTGTATATTTATGAATAAAGATATTCAATCATTTTCTTAACTAAGACACGGACTATGCTGCCAGACATTCGGTTGGAGCAATTTTGAAAAAATAGTTACAGTGAGAGGCAAAAAATTGCGAGAGCTCCGATAAGAAATGAACGAAAAACGTACACAGGAAAATCCAATATAAAAAAAGTGAAATCGAAAGAGAAGAAAGTTTGAGAATATAATAGTTTTTAATGAGCATTCCAAACATAAATGTTTAGTTGTGTGTTTAATTAGAATATTCATCCACACATGAAAATAACAAGCTTATACACGTAACTAAAGATTGACAAGAGTAAATTCTTTAGCATCCTGTCGTTTAACAGAGATTAGTGACAGGATAATGTGTTGTTTCTTGTGTTGTGGGGCAGATGGGAGGGGAAAGGGAGAGAGGGTGAGAGAAAGAGATGACGTGAAAGAATGAGAGGAGGTATATAAGGCGGCGGGCAAGTGTTCCAACCATCACACTTCAACATGCACCTTCTGGTGAGTCCTTCCCCCCTTGTGTCCTCTACACTAACCACGGACACACATCTATTACTTCTATCTCATCCAATTTAACTCAAATAGATATACACCGAGTGTATAAAGGCCTTCCGCACCATAACCTCCCTAAGGACCTTTTCAAACTAGCTATTATTACAGTAAACACAAAAAAACCTTTTCAAAAGGTGAGGCTTTTGATCGATTGCTGCCGCCGAAGGCGGCTAGTTTATTGTGCACCCCATACTCATCCTGTGAGCGGTAGCGCAAAAGCATTACAGAGGGCACAAAAGGTCTTTATCAGACCTCATCTTAGATTATTACATAAACAATTTCATCTATCCTTCACACCTTATAGTTACAATGTCAGCTAGTTACAGAGAAAGTGCTATTACAAGAAAAGTGAGGCTATGTAGCGTTGACGTGACCAGGCGGGGTGCGGACCTTGAGCCACACACCACCTAACACATCCACCGCTCTCATACCAGTAACTATGCCACTTGTTTTCATGCCACTTTGACAAAACGTCAAATAATACAAAAAAAGAACTAACGTAAACAATATGTAACACCGTTTCCTGGTCGGTCAGTTATTATAATTTGAAATTACTAAGAAAGTAATCTGTAGAATTAAAATATTTTGCACACCACTGATGTCATCTGTATATTATCAGTAAAGTTGAAGTTACTGCTAAATTGTTGTCTTCTAAAACACTAGATTGTATATACGCCATCTAAAGTGTTCTTGCAGGTCGAACATTGGGATATTATACACTAATTAATCATTTTGGTTTTCTTTCAAGATTCTGATCTCGGTTGTCGTGGCAGCATTGGCCGCCCCCGAGGGCTACAACCTGCCTACGCCCTCTGGCCCAAATCTTCCTGGAGGCGGCTGCAAACAAGGCGAAATCCTTCATGTGGACGGAACGTGCGCTCTCCCTAAAGTTACCCAGAACCTGTTCGTCTTCACGGCCCCCGAACAACAGCAGACCTACGGACCTCCGCCACAGATCCCAACCCCTAAAGTAGAACACAACATTGTGTTCATCCGCGCCCCGGAACCGGTTCAAGGCCCTGAGCCCATCATAGTACCGCCGCCCAGACAGCAGAATATTGTCTACGTTCTCAACAAACAGACAGAACAGTCTCAGCGAGTCATCGAGGTCCCTGCTGAAGCGCCCAAGAACCCCGAGGTGTACTTTGTCAACTACAACGAGGGAGACACCCCGACCCTCCCCGGTGGTATTGACTTCCAGACTGCCCTCAGCTCCGCAGTCCAAGGTGATGATCAATTCATCACCGGCTCCGGAGGACTTGCTGGCGGCGAAGGCGGCGTTGTTGACACCCAAGGAGGTGGTAGCGGCCTAGATGGAGGCATCGGAATTGGCAGTGGACTGGACGGCAGCTTTGGAGGTGTCGGAGGAGCCAGTGGATTCGATGGAAACCTTGGACCGACCAATGGTTTTGGAATCAATCTTGAAGGCTCAAGCGGTTTTGGAGGCAGCCTTGGAGGTTCTGCTGGACTTAACGGAAACATAGGAAATGGTGGCTTCGGGGGAGATGGTAGTCTAGGTACTGGCACTGTCACTGGGGGTGGTTATGGAGGCAGCAATATCGGCCTGGCTGGTAACAGTGGTAGAAATAACAATTTTGTTAGCAACATTGGCGGAGACAGTGGTTTTGGTGGCAACTTTGGCAGTGCTGGAAATTTTGGTAGTGACAATGTAGGCGGCAATGTTTTTGCTGGTAATACTGGTGGAAGTGCTGGTTATACTAGTAACCTTGTTAGCAGCAGTGGGTTTGGTGGCAACATTGGTGTTGGTGGATTAAGTGGAGGCACTAGTGGGTTTGGTGGTAATACTGGTGGCAGCAGTGGTGTTGGCAGTTACACTGGTGGCAACAGTGGATCTGGTGGCAATCGAGGGTTTGGTGGTAACATTGGTGGAAGCAGTGGGTTTGGTGGTAACATTGGTGGCAGCGGTGGGTTTGGTGGTAACATTGGTGGCAGCGGTGGGTTTGGTGGTAACATTGGTGGAAGCAGTGGGTTTGGTGGTAACATTGGTGGAAGCAGTGGTCTTAGCAGTTACACTGGTGGCAGCAGTGGTGTTGGTGGATACACTGGTGGCAGCAGTGGGTTTGGTGGTAACATTGGTGGCAGCGGTGGGTTTGGTGGTAACATTGGTGGCAGTGGTGGGTTTGGTGGTAACATTGGTGGCAGCGGTGGGTTTGGTGGTAACATTGGTGGCAGTAGTGGGTTCGGTGGTAACATTGGTGGCAGCAGTGGGTTCGGTGGTAACATTGGTGGCAGCAGTGGGTTTGGTGGTAACATTGGTGGCAGCAGTGGGTTCGGTGGTAACATTGGTGGCAGCAGTGGGTTTGGTGGTAACATTGGTGGCAGCAGTGGGACTGGTAGTGCCTCAGGATTTGTAGGCACTCTTGGTGGAAACTATAATCCTCCGTCCGCCAATATCAACACACCATCCAATCTCTACACCACACCTTAAATCAGTCCCTGCTGTCAATGGTCAAGTTCCTGTTGTTGTTAATATGTTGTTATTATACAAGCTTAATATTATCGTTCATGCTTAAGCATATTTGTTAATCAGTTTTGTTATAGATTTTTTTGGGGTATACTGGATATACCTTACTTAGTGTGAACTTTCTAGTCAGTTCTAAAATACAGTTTGCCTCACATGGTTCTATTGTTATATCTAATATGTATCTCTGGATAAACAGTATTCCTTATATGTATCATTTAAAATACAGTTTACTTACAGCACATTATGTTTCATATTCCTTGGTTACATATTGAGAAACTAATGGTTTTGAAATAGTTCTGAAGTTGAGTTATCACAGACAAGAAGTTCCCAATATTAAGTAAATTACACATCGTTTATATGTTTTCCTGTCGGAAAAATAAACTGGAATACACGGGAATACCATTTAAAGTTCCATGGAAATACATCAATAAACCAAAGAAGTTCTATAAATGATGAAACTTTTCATAAACAATTAATAAACCAAATTTATTTATGATTTTAACCACCATTTTCCGGTGGATCAGAGATTATAATTTAAATTATTAAGACAGTAAGCTGTAAAATTATAATATTTTGCGGCACAACAAAGCTGATATCATCAGAATAGTAGCAATAAAGTTGAAGCTACTATTAAAGTGTTGTCTTCTGAAACAGTTAACTAACTCCTGAGTGCATATATATACTGCAAGGTAAACTTAGGCATTAGGTAAACTCCAGGGTACATATATACTGCTAGGTAAACATAGGCATTAGGTAAACTCCTGGGTACCCTTGTACCCCCTATTAAGACTATTTTACAGGAACTTCTTCTCGACGGCTCATAAAACAGAGGAAAGGGCCCTTGAAAGATATTGTTGATAGGAACGTTATCCCTATACAGACAAAAATCAGAAAATACAATTGACAATTCACTATAAAACCAAAAAAACGGCCAACCTACTCATGAAAAACTCCCCAGACACCAAACAGAACGCCTTGAAGGAAACCAACGTCGCCTATGCCTTCAAATGCCCACTTGGGGGACTGTAAGCCCCAAAAAACTCAGTATATAGGCAAGACAACAACGTCTCTTTCCAGGCGATTAACAATGCATAAACAGGGCTCCATCAAGGAACATATAATCTCTTCTCACAACCAGACCATCACCAGAGAAATCTTAACAAACAACACAGAAATCATCGATAGATACAGCGATAGCATTAGGCTTGACATCAGCGAGGCACTACACATCAAAAAGTCAACACCAGCAATCAACAGCCAATTAATGCACAACTATATTCTACCCACTTCAAGACCCCGAACCAATATGGAAGCAGGAAGAAGAGGTATGGGCCAATAGGCCTTTTGCAGTTACTCTCATTCTTAAGTTTTCATACCCAATTCATATTCATTGTTTCGTGTTCTATCTTGTGTTTATCACCTCATCCAAAACTTTTGTGCCATATCACCTCACCCAAAAATGAGTATAAGTACGATAAATTTGTATGTGTAAACTAAATCTTTGAAAATGTAATAAGAATTACGAAACGCGTTCAGACGTCATACCACAAATAAAAATTAATTTTGGAGAATTGATATTTCAATTACCATCGACAGTGAGAAGAAACATGAAATATTGAGAAAATTCGTGTTAGAATTATTAATCTTACCTTTTCGCACAAGACAGCACATATATGACTTATTGCTTATAGTTAATATTCTGTTAATGAATAAGCACATATGTGGTACATGCCAAGTTATATTTTTTTCAAGGCACTAACTCTTCCTCCCGATTAGTTATATATACACAACTTTTAAATATTAGGAATTTGTTTTTAAATTTTATTAAACAATAGAGATTTTATACAAAATTTGACAATATCCTGAGTTACTTTACAATTTATTTAAATATTTTAGTTTTGTTTTATTATTTTTATAAAACTGTAATATCAATATAGGTATAAGTTAAGTACTAATTGTAATTAAGAAACAATAAAATGCTTATCTTAACATACTAAGGTGGTTAGGTGAGGGCCGTGGTTTTCTATTCAGCTTTTCAGGTAAACTCAAATATTCACAATAAATTAGTATATCACATATGTACTTATTCAGAAGCAAAATATTGACTATAAGCAAGTGCGAGAACGGGTTGGTTTACAAGAAAGACTGCTACCAATATATATATATATATATATATATGCAAACAAGCCTGAATGGTCCCCAGGACTATATACAACTGAAAACTCACACCCCAGAAGTGACTCGAACCCATACTCCCACAACTGGTATGTACAGGGACGCCTTAATCCGCTTGACCATCACGACCGGACATAAGGAAGTGATAGCCGAGGCTATATGAACCACTTCCCCGCCGGCACTCGGATGGTAATCTTGGGCATAGCATTTTATCAAATCACCTCATTCTTTGGGGCACACGTGAGGAACACAAATGCAAACAAGCCTGAATGGTCCCCAGGACTATATACAACTGAAAACTCACACCCCAGAAGTGACTCGAACCCATACTCCCACAACTGGTATGTACAGGGACGCCTTAATCCGCTTGACCATCACGACCGGACATAAGGAAGTGATAGCCGAGGCTATATGAACCACTTCCCCGCCGGCACTCGGATGGTAATCTTGGGCATAGCATTTTATCAAATCACCTCATTCTTTGGGGCACACGTGAGGAACACAAATGCAAACAAGCCTGAATGGTCCCCAGGACTATATACAACTGAAAACTCACACCCCAGAAGTGACTCGAACCCATACTCCCACAACTGGTATGTACAGGGACGCCTTAATCCGCTTGACCATCACGACCGGACATAAGGAAGTGATAGCCGAGGCTATATGAACCACTTCCCCGCCGGCACTCGGATGGTAATCTTGGGCATAGCATTTTATCAAATCACCTCATTCTTTGGGGCACACGTGAGGAACACAAATGCAAACAAGCCTGAATGGTCCCCAGGACTATATACAACTGAAAACTCACACCCCAGAAGTGACTCGAACCCATACTCCCACAACTGGTATGTACAGGGACGCCTTAATCCGCTTGACCATCACGACCGGACATAAGGAAGTGATAGCCGAGGCTATATGAACCACTTCCCCGCCGGCACTCGGATGGTAATCTTGGGCATAGCATTTTATCAAATCACCTCATTCTTTGGGGCACACGTGAGGAACACAAATGCAAACAAGCCTGAATGGTCCCCAGGACTATATACAACTGAAAACTCACACCCCAGAAGTGACTCGAACCCATACTCCCACAACTGGTATGTACAGGGACGCCTTAATCCGCTTGACCATCACGACCGGACATAAGGAAGTGATAGCCGAGGCTATATGAACCACTTCCCCGCCGGCACTCGGATGGTAATCTTGGGCATAGCATTTTATCAAATCACCTCATTCTTTGGGGCACACGTGAGGAACACAAATGCAAACAAGCCTGAATGGTCCCCAGGACTATATACAACTGAAAACTCACACCCCAGAAGTGACTCGAACCCATACTCCCACAACTGGTATGTACAGGGACGCCTTAATCCGCTTGACCATCACGACCGGACATAAGGAAGTGATAGCCGAGGCTATATGAACCACTTCCCCGCCGGCACTCGGATGGTAATCTTGGGCATAGCATTTTATCAAATCACCTCATTCTTTGGGGCACACGTGAGGAACACAAATGCAAACAAGCCTGAATGGTCCCCAGGACTATATACAACTGAAAACTCACACCCCAGAAGTGACTCGAACCCATACTCCCTCAAGCGGATTAAGGCGTCCCTGTACATACCAGTTGTGGGAGTATGGGTTCGAGTCACTTCTGGGGTGTGAGTTTTCAGTTGTATATAGTCCTGGGGACCATTCAGGCTTGTTTGCATTTGTGTTCCTCACGTGTGCCCCAAAGAATGAGGTGATTTGATAAAATGCTATGCCCAAGATTACCATCCGAGTGCCGGCGGGGAAGTGGTTCATATAGCCTCGGCTATCACTTCCTTATGTCCGGTCGTGATGGTCAAGCGGATTAAGGCGTCCCTGTACATACCAGTTGTGGGAGTATGGGTTCGAGTCACTTCTGGGGTGTGAGTTTTCAGTTGTATATAGTCCTGGGGACCATTCAGGCTTGTTTGCATTTGTGTTCCTCACGTGTGCCCCAAAGAATGAGGTGATTTGATAAAATGCTATGCCCAAGATTACCATCCGAGTGCCGGCGGGGAAGTGGTTCATATAGCCTCGGCTATCACTTCCTTATGTCCGGTCGTGATGGTCAAGCGGATTAAGGCGTCCCTGTACATACCAGTTGTGGGAGTATGGGTTCGAGTCACTTCTGGGGTGTGAGTTTTCAGTTGTATATAGTCCTGGGGACCATTCAGGCTTGTTTGCATTTGTGTTCCTCACGTGTGCCCCAAAGAATGAGGTGATTTGATAAAATGCTATGCCCAAGATTACCATCCGAGTGCCGGCGGGGAAGTGGTTCATATAGCCTCGGCTATCACTTCCTTATGTCCGGTCGTGATGGTCAAGCGGATTAAGGCGTCCCTGTACATACCAGTTGTGGGAGTATGGGTTCGAGTCACTTCTGGGGTGTGAGTTTTCAGTTGTATATAGTCCTGGGGACCATTCAGGCTTGTTTGCATTTGTGTTCCTCACGTGTGCCCCAAAGAATGAGGTGATTTGATAAAATGCTATGCCCAAGATTACCATCCGAGTGCCGGCGGGGAAGTGGTTCATATAGCCTCGGCTATCACTTCCTTATGTCCGGTCGTGATGGTCAAGCGGATTAAGGCGTCCCTGTACATACCAGTTGTGGGAGTATGGGTTCGAGTCACTTCTGGGGTGTGAGTTTTCAGTTGTATATAGTCCTGGGGACCATTCAGGCTTGTTTGCATTTGTGTTCCTCACGTGTGCCCCAAAGAATGAGGTGATTTGATAAAATGCTATGCCCAAGATTACCATCC